TATAAAATTAAACCAACTGTAGTTGAGTAAGAGATACTTTATAATGCAGTATGTACATACTGTAATAGTTTTTATATAGGGGTTTGGTTTGTTTTAAATTTCGCGAAAAGCTACACGAGGGATATCTGCGCTAGTCGTCCCTAATTTAGCAGTGTAAGACTAGAGGGAAGGCAGCTAGTCATCACCACCCACCGCCAACTCTTTGGGCTACTCTTTTTACCAACGAATAGTGGGATTGACCTTCACATTATAACACCACCACGGTGTGACAGGGATTCGAACCCGCGACCCTCAGATTGCGAGTCGAGTGCCTTATCCACCTGGCCATGCCGGGCCCAAATAAAAAGTACAATCGGGCTTTTCAGTAGTCAGTAAATGAACCTGAAAAGTATTCGTCTATCATACTACGATGGGCAAATCGTTTTAATACGGTGTTCCTCAGAAATTTTTATTCTTCTATTTTTCTAGGAGTGCTGTTGCTAAGTTTTTTTACATGTGTTTTACCTTATCTTTTTACTAATTCCCATATTGTTTGCATAGCTTATCCTTTCTATTATTGATTTATGTTTTCTGTTTAATCCTCAACTGAACACCATTTAAGTACAGTAACAAAACAAGCATTAAGTTACCAAGGTTTCAACTTTTATCAGAACTAAATATCTTACACCATTCAAATCTTACGCACATATATTCAGTATAAGGAATCTTATATTATAGAGAAATTGATCCATGGGGAGTTGTTTGGTAAGACTTTTACGTCGGTATCATTCCATGTTCTGCTAGTTATTTATGAGTTAAATTATAACTTCCCCTTTCCCCTGGTAGATAGAAACATAAGTTGCTGCGATAAACATTATCTATTTTTATAATTGTTCATTTGATCCAGGGTTTATACTTATAAACCCAACTCGATACTTTTTAAATGTATAACATCCTTGATGGCCATACTTATAAACCCAACTCGATACTTTTTTAAATGTATAACATCCTTGATGGCCATACTTATAAACCCAACTCGATACTTTTTTAAATGTATAACATCCTTGATGGCCATACTTATAAACCCAACTCGATACTTTTTAAATGTATAACATCCTTGATGGCCAAAACGTAGCTTCTCGCAGCAAATTCACATGCTCTATAAACTTAAGTATAATACGTGTGTTGCACTTACACATAGGATGAAGCAATTTTAAGTTTCAAAAACATATTGAACTAAACGTTTCCTTACCTATAAAACCCTTGTCAGTGTGATGTCTCTCCATCATTGGACATTTCTCTCATAAGGCATGAACTGGCCCTGTGGTAGATTTGTTTGTTGTGAAGCACAAAACTGCACAATGGATTATCTGTGCTGTGACCACCACGGGTATCGAAACCTAGTTTTTAGTGTTATATAATCCTTCAGACTTACCGTTGAAATAACAGGGAGCTAGAAAATAATCTCGATACTTTAATCTGTGAGAGCATTATAAGAATGACAGTCAATCTCTTAGTGTGGATTGTAGGATGCTGCTGATTGGCTACCTACCTTCTGGCCAGTTGTTCAAAATTAGGGACTGTGGCAGATAACATTAGTATACTACAATTGTTTCCTTTGCAAATGAACCAGAATCTAGGGATCACGTTAAGATTTATCTGAAACTGAGGATAAAAAAAAAAGTTGGATATACAAGGTGATTTAAAAAATATATTAAATTACTATATATCAAAACTGGTTGTCTTAAAGTAACTAAATTTTACCAGGAGTACAATGAGAATCGTAAATATTGTTCATGAAAGCTTGCCAGTAGCGTAGCAAATGCCCCCTCAACCCCAGGGGGCCCCAAATTTATTTTAACTTATCCAGATACATCTGGCACATGTCACAGGCCCGCAGAATTTTGAAAACACAAAAAGGATGGCATAGTTTGTTTGTTATGAATTTCGCGCAAAGCTACACTAGGGCTATATGCGCAACCCGTCCCTAATTTAGCAGTGTAAAACTAGAGGGAAGGCAGCTAGTCATCACCACCCACCGCCAACTCTTGGGCTAGTCTTTTACCAACGAATAGTGGGATTGGCCGCCACATTATCTCACGACTGAAATGTCTATATAATGCTGCTAATTCGACTACCGCCGTTCCACTGGGTTAGTCCCAAAATCGTATCTGACCGACAGATAGAAGGTTATTAGTAATAGCTGTATTTAGATTTTACTTACCAAATATTAGGAAGTTCTAAAAACGAAACGCCATGATCTTACACTATCACTCAAACTATAGTCACTTATACCGAATTTCCATTCACGTCTCAATACATTTGGCACACTTTACTTAAAGTGAGATCTAACTTTCGGAAAACTGCCATAATAACACATTTAATAGCGAGTCTTTCATAAACTGAAAATTAATTAAATATTTTTTGTTTGTTGTTGGCAAGTGTAGCTTGTCATATGTATAAGTGAACGACACACACTTACAAAACAAACTGAAACACATGACGGCTAAGAAATAAAGCGGTAAAGAAAACCTGATAACGGTAAACTTGCTAGGTGTAAATGTCTGAACACTAAAAGCTATCGTGTACTACAGTTGCTTCAACTAAACATTTACTGCTAACTTTATTACTAGTGTGCGAGTGAATCAACACAACCGAAATATAATATGGGAACTCGAAGATCTTCTTTTATTTTATTTTTTTTTACGATGAAAGTAATACTCAAATAAAAAAGACGGTAATTTAATAAATCTACAATCCAATTGTTTAGAGAATCTATATATGAACGAAGCAAATACAAGAAAGTTTTGCCCACTGCCTAATGTTGTTAGATTCTCTCATATGATTGCTATACAACATAAAACCTCTTGACTGATCCAAAATGATTACCTTTGACAGTTCTGTGACAAATAAAAGCTTTACTACATGAAGTACGCGATAGTTAGGGATGATTGCTTATGAAAAACACTTAATCCACACATTTAAATGAAGATATTGCTTAGAACAGAGGAAAAATACAACTCTTTAAAATAAATTTCCTTTGCTTTGCGGAATATCTATCTAGTATACACTTGATTTATTAGCTGTTATTAAGCACAGACACACAATGGGCCATCATGAGTTTTAAAACCCAATTTTTTATCATTATAAGCCTTCAGACATGCCACCATGGGGGCATCATTTGGTTATATTGATTTTAATTAATATGATAAATAATCAATCGTTATGAGCTGTGGCAGTATCCAATGACAGACATTGAAACAAATAACACTACCTAACAACAGTACGTGACTGGCAGTTCTGACATGTATCTTTTTTGGTAGAAGTCTTTAAAGCAAAGCTACTAAGGTTATCTGTCATGGTTCCTAATTTTGAACTGCTGACCAGAAAGAGAGCACTCAGTCAGTAGTACCCACACTAAGGTCACTCTTATAATGTACCCACAGATTAAAGTGAGAGGAATATTTTGTAGTATTGCAAAAATTTGAACCCAGCTCACCAGCTCCAAAAGCTAGACCTCAACCACAGGGCTAGCCCACATCTCTCAATCATTCATATTTTAAACATGAAATATACACATAAAAAATCCAAAAGCCAATGACCTGCTGGGTCTCTTAGGAGATTTTTTGGCCCTTGCCTGAAAGTACATATTTATTTCTCACTGTTCTTAATCATGTTGTTCCCTTAGCTTTCAAGTTTAAAAGCACTTTAAAACCTTCTCAAATTCATAACAGTTGTCATCTTGCAAGAACGGTCAATTCTAAACTGGACATGTGCAATAAAGCTTTACATTAACTGAAAAAACATGCAGTAAAATACTTTTATTCAGACTTTCCCTTCTAGGTCACACGCTGAAATAACCACTACATACAGAGGATTATTTTCAAACTATGGTAATATCATGCTACCATAATCTGGGACTAGACAAGGAAGAAACAACTTTCAAAAGTTGCTTGAACATGTAACAAATGGAAGTACTTTGTCACATTGTATGAAGCAATAAACTTCTTGTTGCATTTTGGTAAGTATGCTGATTGAAGTTATCAATGCTGTAATCAGTAACAGGTTGTTAATTCACAGTGGTTTTCATCTTTGAAATATCATAGTGCCTTGGGACAACTTAATTTTATTAAATAGTTATATTGTATGTAACTGAAGAGTATTAGAAAAAAAGTCAAAGAAATTGTAGTGAAACACAGACAGATAAAGTTATTTAATACTGATGCAGTGATGATAAACAAGAGATACAGTATTTTTATAAATACAAACTAGACAATGTCCTCATGATATAAACCAACACTAAAGATTATAGAATGAACTGCTAGTTCAAAGGATATTATCAAAGATGCAATATCAGCTAGTCTATGTACATATTAATTCTTTAAGTATTTTTGTCTATAACTCTTCTAGTACAATGATAATTTTTCCAAGTTTAATATTGCAAGTAGTAAATCTTTTTATTTTATTGAATAAAATAATTGTTTTACTGATTGTAATATTAAACCTGTTAATCAAAAATAATTTTGAGAACAAAGAGTGCATGAGCAATGTAAATTTTTATAAATTAGACAGTACATCACAGACTACTGAAACAAAAGTTTAACAGACATTCAAAATTTTTAACAAGCAGCCATATAAATAATGTATGTAACACTCAATATAAAATTTAAAACTCCACATTCAAACACAACAAAAACTAAGTTAATACTCAAGAATAAAAATGTTATTAAACTCAGCAGTGTAACAAATTTAAAAAGTCAATTAAAAACTTTTGACTAGTATAACACTCATCAAATATTAAACAACAATTAAGTTTGAATTACTTTGTGAACTTCTTTCAACATATTTAAGAATTATTTAGTAATAAAAATATAAACTGCATAAACAACATTTCAAGTAGGTTCTATAGCTGAAGGACTCTTATGAATTGTTTGTAATTGTGTACAATAAATGTGTTTCTTTAGCTTCAACATTATGGTGCATAAATTCAAAGTTATCTTCATTGACTTCATTCTCAATGATAATGAAGAAAAGTTTAATCTAGAAAGATATTTTGTCTACATAGTTCATCGAAACCTAACTTGACATTCTTGCAGTGTAGAAGAAACAAAGCGAATCCTAATATTGCTCTTATATTTAAATGTTCTAATTATGCACTTCTGTTATCTCATGTAATAGTGATATATATTTCTGGTATGCATTTTTACTAGTACATATATATCTTTATACCTATAACACACTTTATAGTATAGCTATGTATACAATACTCACAATACACTTTTAATATCATACAGGATTAATTAATTTTAGTTTCATTAGAACACCATGATGGAGAAACTGTGATTAAGCTTGATATATACGTCTTCTACATCAGTAGTTTTATGTATATGTAAGTATATATATATATATATACATACAGCCAGTTGATAATATAGCTTCCTGTTTTAACTGATTCATTATCTTAGATTAGACTTCACATTCAAAGTTAATTAACTCACCAAAATGAATCAGTGATTCTCAACCTTTCTATGACACATACCTCCAGTCAGATCTTAATGCCAGCAATGTACCCCTGACAAATATAATTAATTTAAAAAACCAGAAAGTGGTTTATATTAATAAAAAGGTGAATGAAAAGAAACAATTCATAATAAGATGATTTCATATTAACCTGAATACATACTTTTGGGTATTCATCTATCATTATTTGTAAAACTAAAAATTTGCCCATTTCAATTGAAAAGTTTGTAACTGTATACAAAAAATTAAAGGTTTAGACATTAACACTAATTGCAGATTGATTTGCAAAATATGTTGATTAGGAAACACTAAATTAAAATATTTAAGTAGAAATTATGAATTGCCTGTATAAAGTGAATGGTAGGTTGTTTTTAGTAAGATACTCAACGAAATTTTGAATATTAACACAAATTAACAACAACATGAAATATGAATGATTTTTAGCAGTAATATTAAATCTCAAAATTAAGTTACACAAGTTGGAGAGTGAAGTTTGGTTTGAGATCTAAAGAAATTAAATTAAAATAATTTACAATTTTTATGTGAAATGACACTCATTATAAAACTAATGGTTATCATAATGACCTTTTCTTCTAAAAACATCTTCTAGTTCAAAATTAGAACACCAGGTATTTGTTTTTAAGATAGTTATCAGTTATCTTGTGTTAAGTTTTAATTAACATTCTAAAACTACAATGAGTAGACAAAATCAAAGTTTTTACCTATTGGGTTTCATGTATTTATGATCAAATAAAGAAAAACAATACTAAATTTCATATATTTAAAGAAAAGCAAAAAAAAAAGTTTTAGCAAAGTTGGACTAATATTGTTTTCTAATGAATTCTTTTTTTACTTGAGTTTGATTATATGAATATGCTAACTGGAAACTGGGTGACAAAACCTATATGAAGTTTTGTATTTTTTAGCCAATATGACAATAAGCATATTCTATTTTTACACCAATTTTAAAGAATCCAGTTAGTATCACTAAAAGTATCACCATATATGCTAGCCACTAAAGGGTAATGAGAGACAAACCAATATTTTTGTTTTCTCATTGTATTATTCTGGTTGTAATTTGTGTTCAATATGTTTTTTTATATCCTGCTTCCTATTTATAATGTGATAACATAAACACCATTTTATTGTTTTATTACCATCAGTTTTAACCTGCAAGCAGTTAGTAATCAAGGCCATGATGATATTCTCCTACACTAAAAGTTGCTGTGATAACATGAACATAACTTTTATGCAATACCCTCTTTTTCACATTAGTAAAATTTCTTTATTTTTCCACAGAAAACTAAAAACTATCACCACAGTGAAATGAAAAATTCAAATGATCACACTCTCACACTAGTCTAATTTATGAAACTTTGTAAGAAATAATCTACTGCATTTTAAATTCTTACACTAAAACTACCACAGTATATCTCCCTAAATCCTAGTTTGTAGCCATTTGACATAGCTACTTCAAAAATACCCTATTTCATAATAGCAAGCTTTTACTTCCGTCATTTGTTTGGAGACTAGGAAACTGTTTAATAATTCCAGAAAAAAAGTGTGAACATAATGAACTGCTCATTCTATCTTCCACAGCCTTGATGCTCCTAGATACTTCTTCCTCTTTCTGTACATGTGTAACATCATAAAATATAATGCTGAAAGAGCAAAAGATGAAAGTTTTATTTTAAAGGAAAATCAATATCTGACAATATTAAAATAAACTACAGTAATACAGTGGTTCTCAAACTTTTTATCTGTGGAGCACTTTGGCAGGGCAAAAGAACCCGTGGACCACCTACTGATTATACCTTATCTGTGCTGTTCTTTAGCATGGCCTTGGCTGTAGCACTGTACATTAGTGACTTGCATTGTGGACCAGCCTGCTGACCACCAGTGGGTCAACAACACTTTGAGAACCACTGCTGTAATACATCTAATGTTCAACATATATTATTACACCAGCAATTACATACGTAAAGTTAAGGCTATAAAGATTCACATGAGTAAAACATTACACCAGTTTTAATACTGAACCTGTATGTATTAATGTTACTTTAAATGAGATGAATGAACGTTTATAAAATTAACTTGGTTACAAAAAAAAATATTTGCTAATAAACTAATTAGTTCTTACATTAAGATATGTTTGCCATTAAACATTCAAACTTTTATTTACATTGTAATTATATTATACATAATTAATATGATAGGGTAGTTGTGGGTTCTAAACCTATTTTCAGTTCAGCCAACTTTTATGATAACATGAACAAAGTGGCTTAAAATTTGCCAAGAGGTCTTTAAAACTTGTATTCACATTTTTCTGAAAAAACACTACAACACCAAACATTAAATTTAGTTCCAAAAAATAGAAAGGCTATTTGTTCATTTCTATAATTAAAAGCTTAAAATCTTTAGAACTCTAAACTTTTCAGTTATTGTAAGCCTACCCTTAAAGAGCTACAATATAAATCTACAGAGTTTTAAGAAAAATTTTAACTGTTAGTGTCATCATTCAAGATTGAAATAAAGTTAATCACTTTCAAAAGTTCATCCAACAACTAAATAAAGAGGTATGAAATTTCCACATTTTCAGTGGCTTTGTTCAAATGTTTATAAACAGTCATAGTTTTCAGTTTAAAAAAATAAGTTAGAAAACTTATATTCACTGTTTTGACAAATGTTTTTTTCCATTTCAAGGCTGGAGAAATGTGTCACATTACCTTTCTAAAGAGAAACAATATTTAAGTTGTGTGTGACACAAACACACTGGTGTTTATATGTAATGTGATACAAATCTTGATTTAGTAAATGACAGTAATTGTTTTTTTTCTTAATATTCAAAGAGCTTGCTGTTTATATAACAGTAAATATATAAAATACGTAAATATAATATAAAAAATTAATATAAAATCTCAACTCGACTGGGATTTGAACATGAGGTTTTCCGATGATAATCGAGTGCTTTAACTACTATGCCACCCAGTCTTTATAATCTAGCGTTAACACATAATTCAAATCCCTAAACTAAAGTATCATGTCATTCTTGTTTTCCTAATACCGTAAGATCTTGCTCTAAACATGATGAGTTAATAATTTATAAAAGTTTACTCAACTAAATCCCAAACACAAGACATACATGGAATAGTTTAGTGCCGTTACTACTGAGCCAATTTAATAATGTTAACAGATATTTGAAATCCATAATTTTAAGTACTGCAGAATTTAAGTGCTTCTGAATATTCAAAGAGTTTGCTCTAAGCATAATCTGTTATGAATAAACGAAATCCCAACTATAAATATATTTCATAAACCATACCTTGTTTGTGTACTTATTGGCATTGCCATCCTTACACGATCATTATTTTTTTTCAAATTTTTTATTTACTTTTTATTGCCCCTCTTAATCAATATAAATAAATGGCAGTCGTTAGGAAGGCAGCAGTTTTAGCCTGGTGTGATGAGTTTGTCTTGATGGAGATCATGTGTTGAAGTTAGTGAAACGTTATTCTGCTTCTGCACTCCCCAAGTTAAGATGCAAAATTTTGGTGTGTAAATCATAAATCATTACAACAACTTCAAGTATTGGTGAACTAGCCCTTCTGATGCCAGAATCAGAATAATCAGCAGAACATTTGGCTGTTACACTACTCACCGGTTCTCTAAACTGAAGGTCTTAATAACATTTGAAAACTTCAAAAACCTAAGTTAGGTGTTTATAAAATACACAATATGCAGGGGCCATATTTTACCCAGCCTCTGCTTTGAATTACAGATGCAAAGTAATGCATGTGGGTTATCATAATTTTAACCATAAGTATAATTTTGATAGGAATAACTTTAACAGAATTACTGAAGAAAAAGATCTTGGCATTCTGGTTGATCAGTCGCTTAAGACAACTAAGCAATGTGCTGATGCTAGTAGCAGGGCAAATAGAATATAACATTGCATCTACAGAAATACTGAATACAAACCTAAGGAGGTTATAATGTCATTGGTTAGGCTACGCTTGGAGTACTGTGTTCAGTCTTGGGATCTTTACCTTAGAAATGATATTGAATTGTTAGAAACGAATCAGAGGAAGGCTATCAGGATGATAGCTGAGATGGAACGGTTCTCAATAACAGAATAGGTTAAGATCTCTGAAATTGTTTTTTCTTGAGAAAAGAAAGTGTTAAAGAGGATCTGATTGAGGTGCATAAGATTGTTAAGGGAATTGTACTTTTTGTACTTAGTATTGAGAAGGGTAGGACCAGGGGCCACAAAAATAGATTGTGGAAGGGTAGGAGAAAAATAGAACTTAGCTGAAAGTGACTAACAGGGTAGTTGGCTGGCCTTTTTCAATGGGTTTTCTTCAAATGTGGTGGAAGCAGTAAGTTTAAGGAGGTTTAAGGGAAGGCTTGATAAATATTTGAATTATAAGGGCTGCATTTGAGTTTATATATATGTATATGTGTGTATGTACATATATATAGTTTAGTGGATGGGGAAGGCTAGATGGATCGACAGGGCTCTTGTTCTCCTTAAATGTTATGTATAGTTTAAAAGAAATGGGGATTAGTGCAAAAGCCAATGCTGTACATTTATGATTAATCAATTACCTTTTGGTAGTGAGAAGTGGTTACATCGATAAGTGTCATGAAAACTAATTGATTAATCAAAAGTCTACATTTTCCTATACCGAAAACGTATTTCCGATAATAATTACCTCCTCTCTTGACGAAAGTTTCTCTTCTCTGCCCATCTAAGAATTGGTATGAATTATATCTCATTTGCTTCAGGCTTTATACCCCACTATATTACCCCTAGCAATTTTAATCTTGTGATCTTTTCCACCTACGTCAATGCACCCTCTATACCAGATCTGTATACAAGCTCCCCACTATTACTTCTTATTCACTTTTTAGAGACTGGCAAAATTATCAGACCCAAACACTGGCCATTGTGGGGAGGAAGAGCGGGATAGTGTGAAAGGATATATTATCCGAAATACATTTTCGGCATAGGAAAATGTATACTTCTGAAACACACTTTAGCTAGAATCCCAAACTGGCATGGTGGAGAGGCTGGTGAGGGCAACATCCACACAAAAAGTATCAGTGTAGGAAACGTGCAAATTGAGATATAGTATAGCACACTAGTAGGGTCTTCACTACTTTAAAGAACAGGTATGCTCTTTGTCTGGATAATATGAAATCTAAAACTTTGGCAGTAAAGGCCAACTGGCCACAGTGTCAAATCTGTAACATCGTGAGAAGAAACATGTAAGGAGGGACATCTATTCAAAAACTGGTTCGTCCTGCAATACCAGACACGTCTGGTCTGGAAATATTGTACATGTTCACGAGAGTCAACCAGGCCCCAACCATGCAGACAAGGTTCCGTGTCTCATTGTTGGAATTACAGGGCTGTGGACAGAGGAGAAAACTGCTAAGTCATGTAAATAGTGCAGTATAAAGGTGTTAGGTGTGGTCCATTTACCAGCCTGTACAATTTCCTCCAGTGGGTGATGCAACTGAGTTGCCAGGGATATAGAGAGATGTTAAATTTGATGAGATGAGACCCAAAGAAGTCTCTGCCCCAACAATAAAAGCACAGGGTAAGGCATACAAAACAATTGATGAATCCAACCTGTCAGAGTGACAGGGGATAAGTCATGTGACACAGTAAGATCCCGATGGATAAAAAAACAGTAATGTGAACCCCAAAATGCTTAAGTGTGTGCCACATAACATTGGAGAGCCTGAACTGGGCATAAAAGATTATCTGTATCTGAGCGGTCGTATAAATGTGAAATGGAGGGAAGATGAATAGGAGAGAAAGCTGCTCAAATTCTGGGTAGAAAAGATCTGCCTGGACATAAAGAAGAGAGTCCAGTGTACGTGAAGCGCAAACACAACCGAATGTCGGTGGTCTGCTAGCCAATAACAGAATAAGTTAAGTCTTAAGTGAAAGATGATATAGTAAACATGACCCAAAAGGTGGATGAGATGAGGCATTGAGAACTACTGTAATATCCCAATTAGGAACCTGGAAAGGATGATGAGGATGGATAACCCAAAAAAGATTTCAGAATTAATGACAAAGCCAGAGACTCAAACACTTTTCTTCTCTTACAAAGACCAAAGGTAGCCAATAAATCAGCCATATACAGGGCAATAGAAGAAAGTGCTAAACCTTTGGTGAATAACCATATCAGAAATTGGGAGACATGTGGCACAGTGGGACAAGAAGGGTTAAACCCATGTCTGAGAGACTAGTGATAATAAGTAAACCATTTCCATTGACAAACTTCCAAAGAAAAATGCTGAATGAACTGTGTTAATAAGAACACTGCCCAAGAAGTCAATCCCTGATTTCACATGATGGACCTCATAAAAGTCAGACATGAAGTTGAAGAACATCAACTGCTGGATGAAAAATGTCTCACTGTGGCTGATATAAGAGAGATGGCCAGAAAGGAAAGAGTTTGACACTCTTGAAGATACTGGAGGAGTGGAAACCAAGGCTGATGCAGCCAATGAGGTGCCACCAGAAGGACTTGTCATGACATGGAGTGAATCAGTGCAAGTACCTTGAATAACAGATCAAGATCTGTCCAATCCTGGCTGAGAGAATTTATGCCCAAAACCAGAGGGTGAGGTACAGGAGACCAGAAGGACAGGAGCTGAGCATTTCAGTGTGTGGCAGTAGCATTGATCTGAGGCATTCCATGAGCAGATCCAACGAAAAACTTGAGGATGAAGCATCCATTCCATGGGAAGAGCTCTGTTGGGACAAGATAACTGGTCAGTCACTAAATTCATTACACCTGGAACATGATAAGCAAGGAGAACGATCTGATGTTTGTGTGCCCAAAAGAGCAGATCCAATGTTCAAAATCAAACAGATATGGAGTGGGTGCCCTCTTCCTTTGGAATGTATGAGATGATTGTGGAATTGTCCGAGTGAAGCATTACCACCTCCCCTTGCAACAAATCAAGACCCTTAGTCATAGCTCGTTGAACAGCTAGAAGTTCTAATAGATTGATGTGAAGGGAAGTTTCCTCTTCTGTTTAAAGACCTTTGAATTCCATATTCTCTATACAAGCATCCCAGCCCTGGAGAGCAGCATAGCCTGAAGGCGTAAAGGTTAAGATAGGGTCCGATTTAGCCTGGAATTGAAAAACACCCCTAAATAGATGAGGTACTGTGTAAGAATAGATTTCCCCTTTTTTATAAGAAACCCAGCTCTTGCAGCTTCTGATAACAGTGTTTGAATGTGAAGTTCTGCCAAGTGGTGGGAAGGGGCGAGAAGAAGCCAGTCATCCATGTATGGTGAGTGTGAATGCCTAATGAGTAAAGATGATGTCTAAAGGATCTGACTAGCTGGCAAAAAACATATGGGGCAGATGCAAGGCTGAATGGAAGAGTATGAAACTAAAAAACCTGGTTGTTGTGCATGAAATGGAGATAATGTCATGAAGACTCTGTGATCAGAATATAAGGGTAGGCATCAGCAACATTGAATTATGTCCTCCACAGACCTGTGAAAAGAGCCACTGAAGGGAAAGAAACGACTGAGACAAGAAAGGTCGATGACAGGTCACCAATCATCCATCTTTTTCGGTACTACAAACAGCCAGGAATAAAAACCCTTGAGAGAGGAGTCGATGAGCTCTATGGCCTTTTTGTGATAAAGATCGTGGATGGTTTGAGCTTGACAAATGAAAGTAAGAGGACCCTTGGAGTGGAAAGCTAACCAGTATGAGAGACAATTGAAGAGGAGACGTGAACTGAATTACTAATCTTCTTCCGAGAATTTGCATGACCTGCTAGTCTGTGGTGAAGGGCTCCCATACTGACACAAACCCCTCTGAGTCAAAACTTCACAGGACCCAACTTTATCAGGTAGTCACTGAGACCATAGTATGTGCTCCACCCTAGAGGAGGATACCGGCTGGTAAGGTTGGAATTGCCCTTGTATTCCAGTGTATTATGACACTAGAGCCAGAGGTTTGGAAACTTGAATGGAAGATGCAAGAAACCTTTGGGACAGTCAAGAAGCTAGGGTAAAAAGGGAAGAATGGAGATGGCCACATTCACTTGAAATTCCATAGAATTAGGAATATCAGCAAAAATAGACTGTCGGAGAAAAGGATCTTCTCTGAGATCTCTAAGGGTTGAAGCAGGAAGACGAACCTCCCTCCAGTAAGGCATCTCTCTCCAAAACATCCCAATAACAAACCAACCAAGATACCAAGGAGAGAGCAGAAGCCAATAACCTGACCAATGGCCTCAGACAATAGTTGCAAAAATGATAAAAAATGCAAAACTGTTGTAATTGAAAGACAATGGAAATCAGGACATTCTGATCCAATAAACGAGAAGGACAAGGCATGGCAGCACCCTCACTCAAATGATCAACAAATCTCCTTTCATGCACAGCAATGTCTGGTGAAGGTGGAAGAACCAGGTAATCAGACAAATGATTTTCCCACAATAAAGGAGAAGATTTGTAAGCTACAGGAGAAATACTTAAAACATTACAAACTTGGAATACTACTTGCAAAACAGGTGCAGGTGGCGGAATGTCTGTCTTAGGCTCGTGATTAGCTGTCTGAGCAAAGGTGTCAGAAATATAGAGTCTAAATTCTAATAGTCCACCTTTGATCCGCCCACAAGCTCAGCCTCAGAGCTACAAGAAGAAAAAACATCAGACTGCATATATGATTCTACCTCTCTGCATATAAAAACTCTTTGTCCTCCACCAAAGGTCCCCCCCCCATTCCCAATGCCCAGCTAACACCACACTTGTGAGGTGGTAGAAGAGGAGCATTAGGTGACTCCGTGTTTGAGATGTGAATGTGTGTATTCATATTTGAAAACTGGCCCTCAAACAGGTCTAGAAGAAAACCAAAAGAAAATATAGTTGTAATGCTGAATAAAATCCCACAGTAATCACGTAAGACTGTCATCATGATTTTTGCCGTCAAGAAAGTGAATAAGAAGTAATAACAGGGAGCTTGTATAGAGATCTGCTGGAGAGAGTAACAATATTAAAATCACTAGGGGCGATATAGTGGGGTATAAAGACTGGAACAAGTAAGGTAGAATTTATACCAATGCTTAGATGGGTAGAGAAGAGAAATTTTCGTTGGAATAAAGCTAAAGTGCAAGAGGAAGTAGGTGTGTTTCGGAATTAGTTTTTATTACCCTTTTCAATTATTCCAAGTGATCGAGAAATTACTTTTATGTTTGTTTGTTGTTAAGCACAAAGCCACATAACACGTTAATTTTGAATAACTGAATAGAAGGAAGGCACATTTTTGGAAACATCTGCTGCCAATTTGTTTTTCTTTTGCTTACACATACAATGGTTTGAGGAATGCAATAGATTAACTGGGCTGTTGATTAATCAATTAGAAATACTACTAATTGCCCAACTCTACATTAAAAATACATTTTTGGAAAGAAGAAAGCAATAATAAATTTTCAATGAATGCATTGAAATGTCCTATTTTGTTGATTACAGACACTGACCCTCAAGAAGTCAATCCCTATCAATAAACACCCTCCGGAAATATCATACCTTACTGTTAAATTTATCCAATCAAAGTTCAATGTACCCTTGTATTATTATATATATATTTGTTGTTTCAATGCATTCATTGTAGTTAATGTACCTGATGATGCCAGGTTAACCTGGCGAAACATTGTACTTTCATTAAATTTTACTCTGTTTATCCGATTTATGAAGTTTACTTTTAGTTATGACATGACTTTTTTAATTATTATACTAAAAATTATTATATAAAAGATTCTATCCCAAAAAATATCAAAATCTATATATTTGATGATTATTATGGTAATAAATGAAAACCTTAAGTTTCCAAATGTCACACAGATATAAAGAGAAGTAAATAAAAAGGGTTAAAGGTAAAATCCTTTTAAAGCATTAGAAAAACTTCCCTCTATAACCTAAGTAACTAGTTTAAACTAACAAATATCACCATTAAATCTCAAGTGGTGCAGAATGTTAAAATACAAACGACTTTCTGTACATTCTTTTTAGTGCATACTTCTACCTACCTGCTAATACACAAGAAGATGCACAGTTTTAAGCTCATGTATAAAATGTTAAAATTTTCTTCTTACTTCTAAGAATTTATACCACCTGATGTAATGATTTTTCATAACATCCATATACAATATCATGTTCTTATACCCCACAACTTTTGTATAAAGTACTAGCTTAAAAATGGCAAACAAAATCGGTTGACTTCATACTTTAAATATGGTGTCTCATACAAAAAACAAACAAGAGATTATATAACATATAAATATCTTTAAATGCTTTTTGTTGTACTTTACTCACTAGGAAAAAATCCCAGCAACAGATAAAGTCTCAGTGCACCAGGGAAGGAAAATGAAAAATTCCACTGGTTGGGAAGTTTCATGCTGAACTTTCCTGTTTGTTCAAAATAGGGAATGTTTCTGAACATGATTATTGCTGTAGAAAATAAACAAAACAGTAAAAATCAAAATTTTTCAATCCTAAGAAAATGAAGAAACTTTAATATTTCAACAAGATCAAAGGATTAATATACTACATATATAATACTAATATGAACTCATTGTTTTTCTTCAATATTGTTTAAACTGTACATTTTTAAATCTTTTATCCTATAGAATTATTGAGAGAATGTAAATGAAAAAAATTAAAGTTATCAAATTAATTCACCTCTTTAAGGTTATACAGAAAAAGTAGAAAAGATGTATACAAATACAAAAAGAAAAAAAAGGTTTCAGTGCAATTGCCCCAAATATTTAGCAACAATATTTATTTTTTGGTAATCCAATATTATCTTCTTGTCCTAAGTTTTAATGTTAAAAGTTCTGTACAGTATTATATATTTTAATTTTTAATTGCTGAATACAAAAACACTGATACAATTCTATGTTGTTTTTAATAACTTTATGATTACTTATCAACTGTGTTGAAATGTATTGACATAAATGCATTTTGTAAAAACACTGGGGAATATGATCACTGATACAAGTATAAATATTCATTGTATGACTTGAAGTATTTACAGTACAAATCAACTGCAAGAGATGGCTTTAATACATTTTAAAAATTAGATATAAAATATTACTTTATCTTGTATTAGTAAGCTACATGTACAATAAATTAGTGTTATTATTAGAAGTCACCAGTTTTAAAAGAATAGTAACTTAAGTATACCCAGTTAAGTTCCTATATAGCTTCTCTTTAATAATTGACAACTTGCATGTTATTAAAAGCACTTTCATATTGAAAACTAAGCTGTGGAGAAGGTTTAGATATAGTTTTAATTGCCTGTTTTTAAAATAGATGTCTATATTAACTCCTTCACTTAACAACAGGTTTTCAGTATATGTTTGCAGAATTCACAATAACTTTGGCACTTTCAACAAAAGTTCAATGTCTTCAAAGTGTTTTCTTCAAGCATGTGACTGTTTCTTAGCAATATATATATATATATATATATACAAAAAATACAAAATTATCCTGTATTCATTGACAAAGCCACACAAAAAATCACAACACAGTGTACGTACATGTAAATTTCTCATATAGATTCATTACCTTAGCAAATAACCTTCCAAAAAATGGAGGTATTGACTTTTGGAAAACATTTCACCCTAATTCCTTTTTAGGAGTACTGACTTTTAAAAGTACACAGCTTAACCTTTCATTTTAAGGAGTAATGATTTGGAAGAGTTAATTAAGTAACTGGGTGATAATAACTATTGAGATTCATGTTAATAATACCCTTAATTTTAGTCTATTCAGTTTACATCTAATCTAGTTTATGAAAAATAAATTTGGGTTTTCTAAAATATATATATACTAGTGTTGTATTTTCTTTCTTCCTATAAGAGTTGGTTCAAAATATCCAATAAAACAGGTACAGTAAACTAGCATCAACTCCAGATTACATTACTACTAGAATTAAATGGACTTCTCTTGATTACACAATTTCAAACAAATTTTTGATGTTGTATATGATTGTGATCTTTAAAGGAAACTACTTTAAGATATTTCCAATAAT